AAAAAAAAAAAATAACAATTTATATACAAACAGTGATGAATTGTTGAGCAAAAAAAAAAAAAAAAACTTTGATGAAAATCACTTATAGTATTGCCATTTCAAGAGAATTAAACGTTGAACAAAGTATCCAACAATGGGTATTGCACAAATTATTTTGATCCCGTTATTCGAATATTGCTTTTTGGTGGCCTGAAAAAAAAGCAAAAACGACAACATCAAAATCAACATCTAAGCAATAAACAGTAACATTGGTTACACTATGTGTGTTCAGTTTTTTATATTAACCACATCACTGACACAGTTATTATTCCACTAATGTTGTATACGTTCTAACCGTAAGCGTATAACAAATTATTGACCAAAAAGACTACAATTTAGCTAAAGATAATTTATTTTTTAAAAAAAATATGTTTTTTTTTTTTACTGACAAATATTGAAAATAAAAATGATTTAATTCAAAAGTGATAAAAAAGTGATAATAGCTGAAAAAAAAAATTAACTAACAATAAAATTACCCTTCATAGAAGCCGATAGTACCATGTTTAATAGCTTTCAGAATATCATCAATACCATTTGTACTTGACAATAAATTCCTGAATTCATAGGTTTGTAAAGCAAAATCGTTTCGCCTACCAATGCCCTGAAAAATATTAATTATCAATATTATTTCTTGAACAAAAATATATATTTTCATATCTATTTTAACAAAAAAAAAAATTTTTTTTTTGCTATATTAGTCATATATTACTTTCTGTTTTTACTTCTTCTATTAATTCATTTAGTACCCACAGCTATATGACTTTAGCTATTCTAGCTAATCTTTAAGAATCAACACTTATAAAATTGTTTTTTTTTTTTTGTATATGTTAATTAAAGATAACAGGAAACTGCAGTTTTTTAATTGTTAACTTAATGTATTTAATAAACAAAGTTTTTAGGTTTTTTTTCTGTATTTTAACTTTTACGGTACCGTATTTTTGTTGATTGAATATTCGGTGTTGAAGGGTGCAATTGGTTGCTTTGCTGGCGTTACTACTGGTTTTGCATTAGCTGAAATAAATTAATAAGATTAGTGTAAGCTATTGTTTTTTGTGTAAGTATTTTTGCTATTACAGCTATACTTACAGCTACAGCTACAGCTACAGCTACAGCTACAACAGAAACAACAGAAGAAGATGCTGTTGCTGTTGTTGTTGCAGTTGTTAATGGTACTGCTGTTTGTAAATGACATGTCATCAACGATCAGTGATCAAAACGAGCTAAAACATCAAAAAAAAGCCGAAAGTTTCTTTTTTTTTGATGTAAAATACTGTGCTAATTACTTTTTTTTTTGACTTAACTAGAACATTATAAAGTTTTTTTCCATATGATTAAAAAGGCATTCTGGTCAGACCGATTTCTCAACGTTTCCACTTTGATACTTTACTGTATACTTCAATTTTTTGTTTTTTTTTTCTTCTTCTATCTATTCTCTTTTTTACACAGAGATTCAATCAAGGTCTTAATTAATTATTATGAATTCTCTTTTTCTTCATCTATCTCTTTCTTTTACATTTCCGTTTCTACACTCTGAACGTTTTTACATGCACAAAATTCCTTGTTAAAACGTAACAGAAAGCGAAAAGAATAAAGAAAATTAAATTTAAGTTTTAAAGATTAAGAAAGAAATTTTGAAACAAACAAAGAAAAAGCAGAAAATAAAATCAGAAAAAAATTTAGAAAAAGTTGCAAAAACTTTATTTCTTCTAGGC